GACAACAAACTGTAAACACATTCATAAAAGAGCTCTCTAGACTATTAACCCACACATCCTAAAACACCAAATTCTTCAACAACCAGATTATTATTTAGTCCAAAGAAATTTCTTATCACATCCTCAAAAATGAAGTCCTGCCCTTGGTTTCCCTGACAAATAGTCAAGGGAACTGGAGCAGCTTTGGCCTGCTCAAATAAAACTACAAGAAAGGAGTCAGTCTGGGAAGATGCAGAGGGGAGAGGGCTGAATTACATAATGGAAGGCAGAGCAAAGGATATGCAAAGAAAATGTGCCAAGGTGGAGATGCCTCCTTTCCTGGCTGTCTGGAATATGCACCAGAGTGACTGGCCAGCTCTCCTTTGGTTTCTGCCAGTCTTCCTTTGCCTCTTGGTGCTTGGTGTACTGAGCCACAGAGAATGTGTACTGCATAGAAACCATCCTAATGGGTGGCAGTCACATGAGCCCAGACCTTAAGAACAGCAAGTGCCCAAAGAGCTATACTGATTTTGCCAATTGTGTTCCCTCCTTTTAATGTTGTAACGCCTATTTCCCCCCTCTGCTATACTGAGCAATATTTTTTAAGTGCCATTTAAGGCATTTCTGTAATTGTTAAGTGTCCATGTCATTGCATTCAACTTTCTCAAAAACAAAAGATGTAGTGTTGCTGTAATAATTCCTGTAGCTTTAAAGCATTGTTCTGTATAAAAAGAATAGAGGAGAAAAGCAATCTACAGAGCATGGGGCTGCCAGTTAAACTAGGGGAGTTTGAAGTGATTTTGATGAGAGCATGCTTGCCTTCTCTCCTCTTCCCCTCCTGCCTCTGTTACCTCACTTCATCATGAGGAGCATGGCCATATCTTATGTTGCCCTCACAAGCATTTTCATCATAGTTTTGTTTAGCTTTCTGATTCCAGAAGCAGTGTTCAGTCACTCACATGGGATCTTAGTTTAGCATTGCACCCAGATAGCTCAAGCTGATATCAAAGACAAGAGCTGAGAGGCGTCTCTTCTTATGGCAGACTAGGCTCAGTGCTTGATCTAAATCCGAATCTATAGGGTCCCTTATATGCTACTGGTCTCTCTCCCCCATTTCCTTACCCTCTCCTTCTTTTAACAAAAAAAATAATTTATAAAGAAAAGATATTTTTCCCTAGAGTTCTAGGGGATGAAGTCTACCACTAAGCATTTCAGTTAGTGACTGGTGAGAACTTCTTTTTCCTTTCAGTGTGGTGCTATGAGCTCTATGTTCTTCAGAAGTCTGTTCTTTATTATTTCTATTAATACTACAATGAAATTAAGTACTGATCCCCATTTTTGCAATTGGACATATTTCCTAATTATCATTAGATAGAGTTTGTAGTGCTATGAGAAAATACCATGGATAAAACAATGGGAGGAAAGGGTTTTTTCATCTTACTGTCCACAGCACAGTCCATCACTAAGGGAAGTCGAGGTTAGAACTCACACAGTGCAGGAACATGGAGGCAGGAGCTGATACAGAAGCCATGGAGGAATGCTGTTTACTGGCTTGATGTTCATGGCTTGCTCAACCTACTTTGTTATAGCACCTTCAACCATCAGCCCAAGTTAACCACCCACAGTAGTCTGGGTCCTCTTGTATCAACCATCAATCAAGAAAGTGTACCAAAGGCTTGCTCATAAGCCAATCAACATCTTAGAAGACTAATATAATAGAGCTACTAACAGATGTCAACAACAGCCTGACTCAATAAAACTGCCATGTGATTTGTATTGTTTGTTTATCCCATTGATGGTCAGATCTTCTGATATTTGCACCTAAAGGATTCTTCTTAGACATAACTGGCATATACTTATTCCTGCAGCAACCTTATTTGAATTGATTCTAGATAATGAACTTGATCTGAGTGAAGCAACTCTGCAGGCTATGAGGATAAACTTCCACCTGTAATAGTTAGGTGGCAGTGGAGGATGTGGGTGGGGGTCTGTTGTAAACTTCTCCTCTCAATAGAATTTACTTGTAAGATATCAGCCTCTTTGGAATTTCTGACTTGAGATAGAGAGAGAGAGAGAGAGAGAGAGAGAGAGAGAGAGAGAGAGAGAGAGAAATCTGCTCAATGTGCCACTCGAGGGCTCCTGTGACTTACACATGCAGTGAAAATCCAGACTTAGTCAAACACAGAGGTTACATTCAGATCTTGTCACACTGAGCTCCTTAGGGACTGCCAGCCGATGTTTCAGAGGTATGAGGGGAGCACTCTCATTGCTGTACCTCCTCCATCTGACTCTCCTCCTGGACTGGATTGAGTCTCTGGTGTTTTGTTCAGAACATGACTTGCAATACAGCCACTTTGGAAATCAGTGTGGGGGTTTCTTAGAAAACAATCTACCTTGGAAAGCAATCTACCTTGAGACACAGCATTACCACTCTTGGGCATATACCCAAAGGAAGATCAATCATATCACAAGGACACTTGCACAACTGTGTTCATAGCAGCATTTTTTCATAATAGCCAGAACCTGGAAACAATCTAGATGCCCCTCAAAAGGAATGAATAAAGAAAATATGGTACATTTACATAATGGAGTATTACTCACCTGTAAAAACAATGACTTCATGAAATTTGCAGGCAAATGGATGGAACTAGAAAAAATTATCCTGAGCACAGTAACCCAGATCCAGAAAGACAAACATGGTATGTGTTCACTCAGAAGTGAATACTAGATGTAAAGTAAAGGATAACCAGACCACAATACACAGCTCCAGAGAAGCTACATAACTTAGGAGGACCCTAAGAAGGATACATGGATCACCTTGGGAAGGGGAACTAGATGAGTCCTTCTGGGTAAACTGGGAGTTGGGGTGTGATAAAGGGGAGGGCATGGGGGATGAGAACATTGGGGAGTGTGATGGTCATGTTGGAGGAGGAGAGAGCAAGGAAAAGGAGCCATTATAAGACTAGGGAGAAACCTAATGCTAGGGAAATACCTAGGAATCCACAAGGATGACCCCAGCTAAGACCCCTGGCAATAGGGAAGATAATGCCGGAACTGTCCTTCTCCTACAATCAGGTAGGTGACTACCTTAACTGTAACCATAAAACCTTCACCCAGTAACTGATGGAAGCAGATGCAGAGACCCACATGCAAGCCCTAGGCCAAACTCTAAGAGTCCAGTAAAAGTGAGAAAGAGGGATTATAGGAGCAATGGGTGGGGGTCAAGATAATAACAGGGAAACCCAGAAAGACAGACGACCTGAACTTGTGGGAGCTCATGGACTATAGACCAACAGCTGGGGAGATTGCGTGGGACTAAACTGCATGTGGGTGACACTTTTGTAGCCTGGTCTGTTTGTAGGACCCCTGGCAGTGGGACCAGAATCTATCCCTGGTGCGTGAGCTGGCTTTTTGACATCCATTCCATATGCTGGGATGCCTTGCTCAGCCTTGATGTGGGGAAAGGGGCTTGTCTTCCCTCAACCAAATGTTATAGGCCTTGTTGACTCCCCATGGGAGGCCTTACCCTCTCTGAGGAGCTCATGGGTGTGGGTTGGGAGAGGTGGGGGGTAGCAGGAGCAGGTGAGGGAGGGGGAGCTGTGGTTGGTATGTAAAATAAATAAAAAAGTATTATTTAATTAAAAAAAAAAACACTGATGGAGTACCAGTGGATACATGACTAAATACAATCACTCCCCTCTCCCAAGATGTATCATCAGAAAACAGCTCACAATTGAGGAGTAGGGCCCCTCTAGTCCCTCCTCCATCTATGCCAGGCTGTTAATGGGCATCACTCAGGTGTTTGTTCTTCTTAAGTTCTTCTTTGTTAATTTTGTTATATTTGTTTCTTTGTGTTTTCTTTAAGCTCCTTGAATTTAGATGAAGTTTATGATTTTCTTTTAAATTATGCATCCTGGGATTCATACAGGGATTTCTTGTCAACAAATATTTCTATAGGCCTGATAGGTTTAGGGGTAAAATGTTGCCTTGATCATTTATATCCTGGGAATTTGTCACGGGATCTCAGCATGGGGACTTCTTTTGTCAATTCAGTGTTATATGTGAGCAGAGCAGATTGGGCAAGAGAATGGTGAGGTCTGGAAATCGGGTGTGGCTTATGTGGAATGTTATCGGGCAGATGCAGGGACCAGGGCTGGTGCGCAGGAAATGGGTTCTTCAAACCACACATTTTTAAGGGATCTAGATTCCTTTTCATGGGAAATGGTATTTAGAGACTAGAATATATTACCAAGGTTCACTCCTTGCTAGGGAAAGACTGCTGCTTTTCTTTCTTATCTTTTTATTGGTCAGATTTAAGGAATAACAGGTTGATTAAGATTATAAAAGTCTCATATCTGTACCTCTGTGTTGAGCTCCTCCTGTCTTTAGCACATAAAATAATGAATATTGGGTCAGCTCGTAAGCTGAACTAAAAGCCCATATGGTAATGTCACTACTCTTTCCAAATCCCCATTTCAAATTCTTCTTTTAGTAGCTATGGAACTGTTCATTGTCATCAAATTATTTGCTTATTTTCTCAACCTATGCAAAGATAATGCATTCTCAAATAATAATCCACACAACTATGAAATACAAATAATAAACTGCAAGGTTATTTGCAATTATCTTTGTCTTTAATCTGAGAATTTAATGTGCAAATTAAACTTTCTCAACTGTCACTGCAATAGTTTTTTTTTCCTATGCTTGCATAGTTATAAAAACACTGGTGAGAAGAAGTGCATTCATTTATGTATATATTTTATTTTAAGGGTTTAACTATTTTTCTATATTAACATGTTTTATATATACAATAGTAGCAAACCTGCAAATCCAGAGGCTGTGTGTAATATGAGCTGTGATATGTGATCCTCATCCACACACTGCAGATATACCGTCACAGGATTTTCCCATGTACACTTGGTTTCAAAAATAATATTTTATGAATAGCCACACATTGCTTGTTGTCCCTGAACTTCTATCAAATAGGACATTCTACATTTATCACTTCACTTTCTATCTTCTTACTTAATATCACTGAAGTTGATGTTGAATCAATTTATAAATCTCTAGTTTATTCTGTTTTACTGTTACTCTGTTATTTCTGTTTTAGCTGTTACTCCAATAAGTGGATAGAATGTAGTTCCTTTTCCTTACTTATTATAATTTCTCAGACATAGGGAAATAGATCTATCATATCAGTCATATCAAAGATGATTCTCCAAACCCTCCAACTGTATATGAACTATAATTTTGATGTCTACCAAGAAAAATAAGGTTACTTCATTCATATGTTGTCATTATCAGATAAATTGGTAGATATTACATGCTAGCAGAGGCTGTTCCTTCCTAACAGGAAGAGTAGAATGGAGCAGGACAGGCATTCTGAACTCTAAAGAGAGATTATAAGATTAAAAAAAATAGAGGAGTAAGTAGAATTTGTCAACTAATTGGGGTTTTTATCTCAAATGATATGAGAAATTAGAGTCAGAGAATGGAAGTCACAGAGAGGATGAAACTGTCATAACACTGCCAGTGGCAGAAAGGAGTGAAGAGAAGAAATTTGCTGGGAAAGGAAGGATTGTACTAGAGCAAGAGGATCCAGGTAGTGGAGTCACCAGTCAGTCAATGTACTGTATGAGTGTTAGGAAAGAGGCAGAAAATAGTGAGGACAACTGGAGGTCCACCAGTAGGAAGAGGGAAAGAAGAGAACCCTGGGAGTTCCTTGTGCTAGGGAAGGGGCAGGCATGTAAAAAGCCAGATTTCCAGCATCCTTCCCCAGGCCAACCCTAACATTAGGACTTCTTTTCCTTCCTGACCACACCCTGGGGCCTGAGCCACAAGCCCAGCATTTTCTTCAACAGCCACAAGGTGCCCAGAGTGAGCCCCAACAGGAACAATAGGACATCCAGCAGGTTCTGCACATGCCATGGCTGTTGAAAGCCATGGAGCTTGAGATGTGCTCCTCCCCCTGTTTGTAGGATGTGGTCAATCCAGCCCACCAGACGCTGGGAAGGTGTCAGGGGGTGAGAGCGCCTGATGGCCCTGGCAGCCATGGCTGCAGACTTGAACCTATGGGCAGACACAGAGAGAATGTGTTACCAATGTGCTGTGCTAGTACTTGAGACCTTACACACACACACACACACACACACACACACACACACACACACACACACACACACACTTTTTCTAGTACAGATCCATAGGTCAGCTTTGAACAAAACTGTTGGCATATACTTGACACTGTGTACCTGAGTCCCAACTAAAAGTTCAATAAAAAGTTAAAACGTAAAACCTTACACAAAAGGATCAAAATTAATCCTGGATAGGAAGTTTTAAAAATGACTGTGTCTGTAAGGATTGCACGTATGGTGCTGAAGGTGTGCTCACATTAGATATATTTGAACATGTGTGACATGATGTATATCTGATAAAATGAAGAGGACATTGAAACCTGAGTATTTTGTCCTGTTTGGCTGTAAAATCTTTGTGCCGGTTGGGCAAGGGATGTGTGGGTCATCTGTTTCTGTCTCGGTTATGATCTCATTTGTGCTAGATTTGTGAAAAGTTCCTTTACAACAGGTCTGTCCTGAGCCCTAGGAACAGAGTGGAAACTGATACCCACTGCTTCCTCTTGGTGTGTGCTCATGTGGGACGGACAGAAATGGCACACGTGATGGAGATTTTGCAAATATTTCAGTGTCAAAGAGAAAGTAGTGTATGATGAGTGAGCTCAAGGACAGAAAAAAAATGTGAAGTACATGTTCTCTTAAGAGGATAACATTGGAGAGATGTGAAATCAACACAAAGACACTGATGAGGCAGGGTCAGCCACATGAAGGACATGCAGAGGTCTTTTTCCAACTTTCAGTGACAATGGCTCTCATAGCCACTTATTTGTATTTGGAAGTTCGTTTCTCAGTCGGGGAACTGTTTTAGGAAGGACTCATAACCGTGACTTCATTTTAGAAGGTTTGTCACTGAGGGGGTTTAAAAAGCCCACACCTGGCCCACTCTTGAACGTTCTGTCTCCTGCTTGCAGATCAAGATGTAAGCTCTCACCTATTGCTCCATTTTCATGCTGCAGACACAGTCACCACCATGATGATCATGGACTAACCCTCTGAAACTGTAAGCAAGGCCCAATTAAATGCTTTATCTTACATGTAGCCTTAGTCAGGGTACCTTTTCACAGCAATACAATAGTAACTAAGACAGTCCTCTTCTGATTCCATTGAAATTCTATAGGTATATGATGAGTCTGGGAGATTAGCCACCTTAAGAACATGCAAATGATCTCTCCTGCTTCAACTGAAATTCTATTATAGGTATCCAAAATATAAGAGGTCAAAAAGATAATATGTGTGTATAAGAAATCATCACACCAAATCAGGTAGAAACATATTCTCAGCACCTCACCTAAAATTAGGATTATTAGCAAAGGAAAAGCAGGACTTTCATGTATCACACATGTATTATAACACATCCCACAAAATTCTGTTTCATTGATAAACAGACTATACAGAACATGTATTCAGGCTAAGGTACCCCAATCCCAGAGAGCTGCATACCTCTTGTCTTCTATGACTTCTTTCAGTGTAAGTGCAAATGTCTCTGCCTTGAGTGTCTCTAGCTGAACAGAAACACCAATTTTCTTTGCTTCTACTAGGACCATGTTTTTAGGTTGGTCTAAAAAGAAGGGAATCCCCACCATGGGTACTCCATGCTGGATGGCCTCCATTAGGCTATTTGTTCCCCCATGGGTGACAAAAAGACGAATTCTAGGATGAGCTGTTGCAAAAGAGAAAGATGGTCCAATATTTCACTATCCAAGTTTCTGATACCAAGTAAAGCACCAAACCCAAGAAATACCAATGTGCTGGGAAGAATAAATTTACTGATGTTGCTTTTGAGATTTGCAATGTTCCATGATGTGATATCCAGTCTTTTGTTTGCACAGAGATGCCTTACTTTATTGAAATAACATAGGACCTAGAGCCTAGGGACAGCTACAAGGAGAGTGACAAGCCAGGAAAGTTTCCTTGTCCTTCTATTCATCTTCATCTTCTCCACTGATGCTTTCTTCTTCACTTATCTCATCTCAGCCTTCTCTCTTTTTTTCACATCTGATCTCTCATAAATCTTATCTCTGTGTGTTATCTGCTCTGTTTTAAGAGAAGCTTACAGAAGGGGATGGTAGACCAGGAACTCCTGTATTTACAGATCTTGACTGTTGGTCCATATTGAAAGCTACCAAAAATTTCTTATGATCATAAAGAGATCATCCCAAACTATACCTCACTTAAAATCTACCCATATTTCCTGGAAATCAAGTCTTTTTCCTATTGTGTAACCTGTGATTTTACAGAACAGAGATCTATGTGAAAAATATTCCAGTTTCTTTTGAGTCACAGTCTAAGGTACATAATTCAGATTCAGCCATTGAGTGTAGAAACTATGGGTCTCCAAAAAGTCACACAGAAACAAATAATATGAGAGGATGTGGCTTTAGGGAATTCTCTGTTGCTCAAGAAATCAGTCTCTCCATATCGTACTGTAAGCTTACTTGGGTTAGCACTCAAATACCTCCCTACCACCTCAACCCTCCAATATTCATGTTGGAAATACCTGAGTTTTCTGTACTTTTCTGACAACCAAGATGTTTCTGCATGCTTACATTCATGTGTGTGTTTGTTTAAAAATACCAAAGATGTCTCACATCATTGTGAGAATAGCGACAACAAATGGTGGCAACTGCCCCAAGGAGTAGTTTTAGCTCATATTGGTCAAGATTGTGTTGGAGTGATCAGATCAGTGTTAAAAACTGTTGAGTCAAGGCTACATATCTATTTTGGGTCTTGAGATCAGTTGGAGTTGAAATGGACAAGGAAGTTGCTACTATGGTCGTCTAGAGTACAGCCCGATTCCTCCAGCAAATCTAGCTCCTTTTGCCTGCCTGTTGGAGCTATATCTTTACCTATCAGCAGCCTTTTCTTCTGCAAGTCCAAGCACTCAGACATCAGTTATCTACTAAGTCCCAAAGCACATTAACAGAAATAAAGTAAAAGGTCTAGGAGGTGCTTACCCAGAAGGTCAGTCTGGGGAAGCCAATCCATGATTTTGACATTAGGAGCCATTCTGACATCTTTGGGCCAATGAGCATCCTTACATGCCCACAGTACCCCTTGAGAGAGGCGAGCAAAGGCACTGTTCATCTCCTTAATAAGTTCCTTGGTCTGATACTGGGTTGCTAAGGAGCCCAGTGCCACAAGGACAAAATCTGAGTCTCCAAACTTAATGATAAAATCCTCTAAGTCCTACAAGAAACATAAAGGAAAGAAGGCAAAAAAAAGGAGTTTGTAAAAGCCAAGGCAGCTATAATATGAAACAAGACAAGGTATCGAATAAACACAGGCTTTGGTTGCTTCTGTTCTACATGATAAATCTCCTTTCATAACCCCTGTACAGCTGTATCTGAGGTAGTTACTGCATTGATTAGCAGTCAACTCTTCACCATTGGGCTCTTATGAATTGCTCTTCCAAGGAAATACATATTCAAGACTTTATTGGAATAACAGATTCCTGTTGCTTAAAATATAAGCTCTGGAGTTCACTAATTGCTAAGGACAATTTTTTGTTTAGTAACTTGAGGTCCACCCTAACTATTTTTGGCATCATTTGTATTATTTTATATTCATGCTAGAAATATTGTAAGTGTACAATATTTCTTCACTTGCTGTGTTACAGAATGTCTTTTCCTCTAGTGGTGATTTCTAGCTTTGTTTACAGAGTAATGATAGATTCATAGAATGAGTTGAGAAGTCTCTTTTCCCGTGGAACCACCACAAATATTTGTAAAGGAACTGGCATCAATTCTTAAGTGTTTCACTTTATTTACCAATTAATCTATGATATATCAGACTTACTTAATTGAAGACTTTATTATTGTTCAGTCTAATTTAATCTCATAAGTTTAAGATTTTCTATTTTTTCTTGAGTCAGTTATGTTAATAGACATGCATAAAAATATGTTCCCTCATATAGATCACCTAATTTAATGATATATCACTTTTGTGTATATCCCTTATAATCTTTATTGTTTTAAGTAATAGTAGGTATTTTTTCACTTTAGGACTTAATTA